AATTTTATTTTACTTCTTCTTTATGGATAAGTTCATTCCTTTCAAAATTCTTAAGCAACTTTAAGTGTTAGAGGTACGTAATGAACTAATGCTTGCTATTTTAACAATTACCCTGTTTGACTCATAAAGTTATGGACAAAACATTTCTCCTTTCCAACTTAAAGAATATTTACTTTAGGATATAGATGGCAAAACGGACAATACCATTTATAAAATCATGATGAATTACTACCATAAAATATATTTTTCCTCTGTCTTCCCATTGCCATTAAGAATTATTCACAATTTTCATTGCAAATATGAGTATTCGAAAAGAGTCCAACGTAATTTCTAATTTACAATGAAAGTAGTTAGGAGGAAGTGGTTTCTCCATGAAAAACAAACAAATCCATAATATTGCAGTTTTAAGATATAATCTTGTTAATTTTAAATGTGATATATAGAGAAGTTTTTGGCGTTACTAATACACATATTTAGAATAGCATTTTGGAATGCAAATATGATATTTTATATCTTTCACTTTCAAAAAACAAGAAATATGAAGTATCTATCGATATTAAGTTGGAAAGTGAATGATTAGTAACTGAAAATAATATGTGTTGTAATGGATTAATTTGGATCCGTGGTGGGGGCCACCAAGCGTGAATTTCATGGGATCTAGCTCGCTTTGATTTGATGTAGGAAACGGTCAGAAAGATTCAGAGGAATTCAAGACGATGCAGCTTAACTTTAGCCGCCAAGTGTCAGGTACGTAATTAAATCACTACGTACACCTCTCTTTACTGTCAAATTCATCATACTTTCTATTTTTCATCTTATTTCTAACAAATTATGTAAGATACACAAACAACATATTTACAATTTATTAGGAATTATTCAAGTTATACATATTCTTTTAGATATTATTAAATAATATAAAATTTTGATATTATTTAACTAAGTAACATCAGTTAATTTATATTAGAAACTAAATTTTGATAAAAATTGAGATCATGATTAAACAAGAAGAGTAGTAAATAAGGACATATTGAAAATAAAAATAAAAATATGTATTAGTTTCTAAAACATGAGTAAATTATACCCACCCTCCTGAGTTTTAATGAAATTACACAAATCACCTCTCCCTTCTTTGACCTTATATCAACTACCCCTCCATCGTACACAAACCACCCCTAGATTTATACATATATTACAATGATTACTCCTGCATGTTATAAAAGTGTAATATTTTAAAGAAAAAACGTGTGATGAATGTAATTAAGTTAAACAAAATATTGTATATTGTGTAACATTTCAAATAATACAAAAACGAGTGTTTCTTTATTATTTTTGTGTCATTAAAAAATACATTAATAATTTCAAAGAAATGTTTAAATAACTTTTATACTATCTTATAACGAGTCAAATAATGAAGACGCATTGACTCTTATATTATTTGAATTTCTCTACACAATATACAATATTTTGTTTAATTAATTACAAACATCATAAGGACAAAAAAGTGAGGGGTGGTTTGTGTAATTTCACTAAAACTCAGGGGTGTGAGTGTAATTTACTCCTAAAACATTGAAAGATTTAGAATAACATTAAAAAATTTAAAACATAGAACAAAAAGATTTACATTCTTTTATATATAGTATTATTAGTCTCCCCTAAAAAGTGCAAAACTATGATTATCATTGCCTACAAAGAAAAATAAGATTATTCTCTTTATATATAGTATTATCAGTGAGTTTCATGATTATTAATTTCAGCAAAAAAAGTTCAACAAATAAATGAACTGATGTTTCTTTTTTTTTCCCTTCAAAGTTTGAGGTAGTTGATAGTAGAAATCATAATCATTTTCTCTCAGCATAATCATTTTGGTCTGCCACTCCCACTGCCAACCACATGGTGAAAATTAATTCTTGCTGGCTGCTGTTGTACATAAGAACATCATTCAGTCGCAGCTTCTCTTTTTCTAAAACCAATTACTCACTAAAAAAACAAGAGAATGCATATATGCCTCCATTAATATTTTATATTTCTATTTGAGCAGTGCGTAGCACCGTACCTTGAATTCGAGAACAGTATAATCTTTTGAATGACTAAATTTTCATACAAATAAAGTGAAATAACATTGGGGGGGGGGGGGGGGGGGGGGGGGATTGTTGAGCACAGTGCTGTTAGGTGGAGATTACTGTTCAACCACATTACCACTAGTCCACTGAAAATGAAGATGAAGATATATAATCTTTGTAAATATTCTATCATAGATATGCAATAACAGTAGAAGCTTGGAGATATATTATTAGAAAGTTTGTTGGTTTGTCCCTGTACAGCAAGACACCTATTGTACCCTAAAGTTGATTCAAACTTCTAAACTTTCGAAACAAGCCCTCAATATAAATATAATACATCCCAATGGCACATAATGGCCAACCAGGTATTCATATCCCATTGCATGTCCAATTAAAACGAAATGGATAAGTAACATGGAATCATGGGAAAGTTTAGCATCTTATTATACCTAGCTAGCTTTCTCTATAGCTGCATTTTTGTGCATAGTTTTGTAAGTTCTTGTACCACTTTAATAAAATCATCTTTCAAAAAAAGTAACATGGAAAAGAAAGGCTTTAATGTATTATTTTTTCCTCTTTCAATTTTTTTCATGAATTTTGTTCTCTGAATCTTTCAGTTAGTTTCAGTAGTCACACTTTTTAGGTATACGTTAGTCTCTTTGTAAAGGAACAAGTATTACACAACTGAAAATGTTTCAAGACCAAAATCCATCAAAAAGTTCAGGAAATAAACTATGCAAATGAGCAAAAGTTAATAAATAATGAAAGATGAATTTAGCAACAAAAAAAACAAATTAGGAAAGGTGATGAAATGGAAAGTTTATTACCTAATTTTGGAGGCCAAATTCATTAGTATTTAATTAGGGAGTGGTGATCATCATGAACTGAAAGATTTAAGAGTAGTGAAAAGAGAGGAGGGGACAGGTTTAACTGTTCTCTACATTAACGTTGCTTTTAATGGAATTTAATGATGAGATTATGAAGATGTTAGTTAATTATTATAGTAGTAAAAAAGAAAGTGACTAGACATGATCTGAACCAAGTTGGAAATTAACGAGTCAACATGCACAGTAACTAATTTATAATAATAGATGAAAAAGGTCTGCAAAAGTTGCAGTCAAATATTTTGGAAACCCTAGCTACCTAGCTCATAAACTCCCCTAATAAGCTCAAATAGATAACTTTCTAGCTCTAAGTCTGAAACTGAAGGAGTAGGGTTTCACTTTTCTGATCAGCCCCCAGATAGAGAAAGACTGCTGCTACTCTTTCAGAACTCACCATTAAACACTGAACTAGCTCATACTCATCAATAAACAATGAAAAGATTAAAGTAAAAGCAACAACTCAATCTCTGCTACCATCAATTATTATACTCAGAACTATATATTTGTGTACATTTCATATTCACAACATTAAACATCTATAGATCTTTCTAAAAATTCTCACGGAAGAAAACTTCTTTTTAAGAAAAGAAAATAATATATAAAATTACACATTTGTGTTTTTGTCACTTTTCTTTTTATGGCAAAGGAGGTGTCAATGTTATATACACACACATTACTCTACATAGATAAACTCGTTACTTTATGTATACAATATCAGTCAACTGTTCAAGAGATCAGACAGTAACTGGTTTCAAAATATACTTCACAAACTTTGTAGTATAGGTCGTTCTCCTTCTGGAAATTAGACTGGAAAAATTATATAGGCTAACATGAGGTGAAGGAAGAGGAGGTGTATCCATGAGATATTTAATATTTTTTATAACATTTGTAGAAAATATTAAAATAATATTTATGTGAGATAAAATTTTAAATATTGTTCTAAAATATTATACTAATAAATGAAATAACCATTCATTCTGAAGTGAAGGGCATGAGAATTTTAGTATATACATATATATTATATGTTATATTGTAATTTATATGCATTAATATAATATAAATAATTCTTAAAAGAATGAGACTCATTTACATTACTGGACGGGGAATTTGTTTAAAAAACAAAGAAAAACTCACATGTAAGTATACTTGTATCCTTATATATATTATGATAAAACAATTTTATTCTTAAAACTAAAGGGAAAAACAACACTCCTCTCATACTTCAAACCAAACTTAATTTCCTTCTTCTCACAAAAAGAATGATGGGATGAATACAGAGTAATGAAATGAAAGATGGAAATTTTCATTGTACTTGTACATTTGGGAATTTTTAAGCAAAGACCTTTTCTTCTCCATTTAGAAACAGTTCCCAATTATTATTATCCCCTCAAATTTAGGTAGAACTAATGAAATATTCATCCCTTCCTTTTCATTTTCTTATTTTTTCTTTCCCTTATTTTTGATGTTTTTTTTATGATATATATATATCATATGATGTTTAAAACTTAGTGTTCAAACAAAAATAATATTGCATCAAAGCCCAGGACTTTTCTGAAGAAAAATAATAATAAAGGAAAAAGACTTCCTAGACCAAAAACACTGAACAAAGGTACATAGGACCCAACCCCAAACCGCTAAACCATAAACTAGAAGTTGGAGTATATATCAAAATTATGCACCATATCCTTTTCTGTGAGTGTCCCTGTATATATCGGTGAGAAATGGAAACACAACATAATCAACATAATAATAATCTGTTCTTCTAACAACTAAAAAGGGAGAGAAGAAAATACAGTCCAAACTACCAAGAAGAAGAAGAAGTCGTGCAAACTAACTAGGAAGAAAACATTAGTGAACATATATGTTTAGTTAGGGGAATACATGATGAATTACAAATTAGTAATCAACATGGTAATTTCTAATTCAGAGTGAATCATAGTAAACTAATCTATTGAAACATAAAAAAAGGTCAAAGAGGAATGATTGAAGATGAAAGCCAAGGCTTTTTTTTCATTGTTTGTGTGTATATGGTGGCAGAACAGGTTAGAACACATATATGAAGAAGCCATGAAACTCAGGATGGACAGCGCCAAATATACAACTATGATAAAATCATTACGAAAAAGGCGCTATCCCTCCTGAGCTTTACAGATTCTTCCATACTCTCTTCAACCATACATAAGAACATATATACATGCATGAAGCCAATGCTGCAAATTTATTGAAGAAAAATAACATAGTGATAGAGAAAGAAAGAGAACAGAAGCTATAAGCTAGAGATCATTGGTGACGAAGGAAAGGGGAATGGTTATAAGGCTATTTATAGAAAGAAAAAAGTACGTTATTACTGAGGTCAGGGACTTCAAACTGATTTCAATTTTTTCTTTTAAAAAATTGCTTTTCAACCATAAAGGTATGGCACATAAATCACTTGCCCTATTCATGTCTTCTTTTCCTATCTTATTTAATAATAATGTGTTACTTTATTACCAATAAAATTATAAAATAATAATTATATATTATTTAGAGAAAAATATAGACGAAAATATACTTATTTTATCACAGAGTTTATTCAAAAGCATATGTTTAATTGGACTGGTTTAAAAAGCATTATATAGCTGTTGTGGAGTGTGGAGTGATGGTGACATGTACCAATGTAAGTTTTTAACGGTCATGATTTTAAAATATAAAATAATATATTTTCAAATAAATCAATTTTACAAAAATGACAATCATACATTTTATTTTCTTTCTTTATCTCTCTTCCTTTACTCTATCCTTAATTAGATCTATCACTCTTTTTCTTCTCCTTTTCCTCAACCTCCTCTCTCCCTTTCTCTCCCCCTCAAATCTGGTTTACGCTTATTTGGATTCCCTCTCCCCTCCCCCTGTTAATTTCTCTTTTTCACTTTCTACCTACAATCCAATTCTCACCTTCTTTCTCCACTTCAAACCCCAATTTGGTCATTTTTCTCTCAATAAAACTGTTTTATCAAATCCCAACACTCTTCTAGACCTAAAATCGTTTAATTGATAATAATAATGGTGAAATTGGAAATGAGTTTGTGGCTGATGGGTCTTCTACGGTTTGGCGAGAGTTAAAGTTGGAACCTTTTGGTGGCAGAAACGGTAATAGTAACACTCATGAAGTTAATTCTAATGATGGTGGAGATGAATATGTTCCTTAAATATCATTGAGCACAAAGGGAAAAGATGATTACATCATTGGAAAAGAGAGATGAGGGATTTGGTTAGGGCTAAGGAATGAAAGAGAGAATAAATTGTATAATTGTTGTTTTTTTCAGAATTGATTTATTTAAATATATATTATTTTATATTTTAAAATTCTTGCCATTAAAAATTTACATTACCACTTATCACCATCACAACTATGCAATGGATGGAGAGGATGCAGACACATTGCTTCAGTGTGTAAAGTTACTTTTTTCATTTTAAAAATTACATTCTGAAAAGGAACGCGACAAATTTATGAGTAAAATGATTAAAATAATACATGGTACGTTTTTTTACATTATACGCTGCCGACTACGATATTTCTTCTCGAAACTTGAATACGGTGAGGGAGATTAGGGACTGGACCGGACTTCGATGTGGCGTAAAGGCACGTGACCTTAAATTTCTCACCAGTCGCAATTTTGGCTTAAGTTTTGTTCTATTATAAGCTAAATTTCTCTCCTCATTGGGAATTGTTGATTTATGCTAAAATTTCAATTAATCGTAGGAAGTGATTCAGAAATAGTGAAATACTTTGAGCTGGTTAAGATATACTTTTTTTATTGGCTGTTATACTTCATATTGTGAATTTAAAAATTGCCTCATTTGTTCTAATTTAGGTTTCAATAAAAATTAAAAGTTTGTAATATCTATAAAAATGAATAGTAAATGATGAACCAATAGTATATAAATTTTTACATTATTAATACATACATTTTTTCTTTGTTATAATTTATGTTTTGGGTATATGGACAATGTAAATTATATCATTTTTCTTGCAATAGATCATATTATCTCCATTTCTAGTTTATTTTTCATATTTTATATCTATATATGTTTCAAAAAAAATTATAATTAAAGTTTAACTAAAAATTGTCAAATATCAGTTGTTAAAATTCCATTTTTAAATTATTAAATTGTTTATGTCAAGTTGTAATGAATTAATTAGATATATGTAATAGGAGTAAAGTAAACTTAAATAATTATTTGACATTAGTTATTGTCTCTCTGAAATTTTAAAATAATAGTATAGTTATAAAGTAGTTGGTGGGGTGCTAGCTATCATAGGGTGGAAAGGATATCATGTAGTGTTTAGAAAAAAGGTGAATAAGCTGGTTGAATTTTACACTCAATGGTCAAGTAGGTTGTTATGGCTATTTTAATAAAGTTGTGAGTTTAATTTTGACTAACAATTTGAGAAGATGGTGATACACAACTCACCTAAATTATTATTTATTATAGAGATATTGCTAAATTTGAATTTTCATGATTACTATTTCGCAACATTATTTTTTTATAGAAAAATGTTTTTAAGAATCACAAAGGAGGCATGGTTGAACTCAAAAGCAAATGCAATGAGTACATTACAAGAATGTTATAAATGTGCTCAAGATGTCATTTCTCAAGTAGAAAGATTCAAGATATACATTGATAAGAAGTTGTTGACACTTTCAATAAGAAATTTAAATCACCATAATTATTGAATCCTATTATTTGAAAATACAAATTGAATATATATATATATATATATATATATATATATATATATTAAAGATATGTGTCTTTAATCTCTATCTATCATTTATCATTTATTCTATTTGGTATACAAGAAAGTCTAACTTCTTATTATACCTAGTTCTTTATGTAGCCACATTTTTTATGATTAAAGACATGGATGAGGATCACATGTTTTCATTCATGTCTCACTTTATATACTAAACCGATTAGAAAATTTCATTTAACTACAAATAAAAATAACAAAATCATAAATTAATATTTTAATATTATTTTTTGAAGTTTGATCGGTTATGAACATATGAATAAAAAAATTCTGGGATATAAGATACTTATGCAAAAAAAAAAAAAAAACACAGTACTATGTATAGAATCATCTTGTAATTTTTTTGTACATCATATACTATAATAAAATATATTTTTTTGCCTATAAAAAATCACTTTACGAATACAATCACTTATTCTGAAGTAACACATTTAAAAAAAAATATGTCAGACTATCATAAAATAAAATAAAAAATTATCCATTTTGTTGTTGTACATAAACATTTTAATTTTATTAGATAAAATCTATTAGCAAGTTGCAATGGTGTGAAGGGGTCACTTCACACAAAGAAGTTATGGTAAATGATAATGGAGGTAACAATGTTGAAGGACAAATCTTAAGTGACCCAACCAGTGTTGAAAAAGTCACCATGTGTATCACATCCTTTTGGTTTACACGAATCCATTTTTGGAAAATAAAAGCATTGTGGTAACCCCATTATTTAAGCCTTCTTTTCCGCTTCAATGTGTTACCTCCTCTTTGGCAATTCTAGTTTTCCCCTTCACTGCCCTAGTACTTTTACCTTTGTCTCAATCTTCTTTTTATGTTTCCAACTCTTGAAATTATATGTACGACTCTCTCTTAATTACCCCATGAGGAGGACCATGTCTTCATGGCTATGTAGTATAGCTTTGTTTCCACTATGAAATTAGTTTTAATATATGCTCTTCTATGGCATATGCATTATGGAGGACCCTCCAAGTAGATAGGTTTCCTATATGTTTTTGGATTCATAAGGGAGTGGTCCACATTCACATTTAAAGCCATAATATTATCATAGGCTGTGAGGATTCTCTCCAATACTATATCCAAATTCCAAACGGGGTACTAAAAAAATTAAATAGTTCATATTTTTTTTTATTTATAATTTTATCTTTTTCTTATATTCGGAAGAGAATTTGATTTCACATTATTTGTATTTCTTCCCAAATTTCTAATATTAAAGTGAATGGGGCCAACTGCAATATAAAATGACAAAATTTAAAACCAAATACATGACCATCACCCGGACTTACTCATCTATTGTGTGTGCTATACAATATATTATCTCAATCCATTGATGTGATTACTTGTTCTTTACTTTACTAGTATTTCAATTGAGAGAAATATTTATTAATGAAGTGTGGGGTAATAGGGATATTGAATCAACATCATTGGTTGGATGACTCAAATTTGATGGGATATATAGTGGTTTAGTTGGTTGAAAATGCCTCCCCTTGAAGTGGGGGTATATAAGATTAAAAGAAGGGTAAACTAGTTTAAAATGAAAAGACAATTTGCTCTTAAAGTTTTAGAGTTAGATTTTCCGAATCAAAATTTATGTTTTTATTACCTTAATTAATGTCCTTTATGCATTAGTTAATATTTCCATTAGAAAAATGTATGTGTGGAATGGGGACCAACATATCTTTTATTTTATTCCCCCCACTATATCCGAATATATTGGTGTGTCATTTTTGTGTAGTAAAGACGAAAACAGAAAAATTAAAATGAACAGAATATTTAGATATGACTATTTAAAAGAGAGTGCTCAAATAATTTTCAAAACACGAGTATAAGTAAATTTGTAAAGTCATAATAAACTTGACTTGTGAAATTGTGAGAGTTTACATCTTTTAATAACACATTTGAATATCAAAATATAGTTTAATGGCGTGTATATAAATTATTACTCCGCATTATAATTTCTTATTAAAACTTATATGAACTATGAGCAGTGTAGAAAATTTGTTAGACATTGCTCAAATAGCCTTAAACCTACTCATCTAAGTATGATATGTTATCTATGAATAGTTTTTTTTTTCCGGCTTCGCTGGACATGCATATAAGTCTGGCCTCATCAAAGTTTATTCGAAGGTGCAAATCACATAAACAAAATCAAATTTTAACTATGATTTTACTTTTGTGGCCAAAATTAGATTTTCAAAATTTTAAGTAGTATAACCCTTAAAAATTATTATATTATTAAGTAATTTTTAAATGCCTCAGTCTTAATTATATACATATTTTATAATTACGTTGGTGTACTAGGTTAAAGATGTTTTTTTATATAAGCTCAAGCCTCAACCTACATAGTTAATGGAAA